AATATCCACCCTATCCACACCTTTGTAATCATTCTGACATTTCTGTCTTTTGGTTTCTCTTTTATCATGTTTCATTAAAGCTATTCTCATTTCTAATTCCTCCAGTCTGTTCATTTTCTCTCCTTTTTTAGTTATCATGTCTTGTACCAACCTATTGAAATTCTAGTCAAAACCTGCTTGAACCTGCATATTTAAAAATACTTTCTTGTTTAGTTTTTCTAACTGAGGTTCAATTTCGGTTAATCTATTTTCTTTGTCTGAATTTCTGGTGACTGTCATTTCGACATACTCACGCATTAATTATCTATAACACTGATTCTAAAAGTACATTGCTCTATTTTAAGTACTGTATGCTGAGTTTCCAGTAGCTTCTCTCCACAAACACAACTAAGTTACTCTTTACATTCATCCTCAAATGATCTGACTCCACCAGATATTCAGTGTTATAATTAATGACTCTCGTTTCAGATGAACTGCTTATATAAATTCGGTCCATGCATGTTTTCACTGTATTACAATGCGTATGAAGCCGAGATCATTTGGGAATTTTTCTCTAAATTTTTCTCTATCCTTCATATCGATCAGAGAGATTTGAGCAGTTTCCCCTCTCTAGTGAGCTCCATGTCTTCTTCAGGATTCTGTCTCTGATGTCTGTGATGGTGTTAAAATCACCACAGAGCACTACATGGAAACCAACACATTTTAATTCATATAGCTTATTAAAAATTATTTTAAAGTTTTCCCACCCTATCAGGTTTACACATTTATATTCTCATTTTCATATTTTAAAACAACCACCAACCATAATAATTTCTTTGCATTTAATAATGTCAATTGTATCTTTAAAAAAAAATCCCCAATGGATAATACCACTGTCCCTTCAGTCTACAGTTTTTAAACATTCTCGAGGTCACTCTGAGTGGTCAGTCTCAACTCCTGAGCACATATTACATCACATTTAACTTTCTTTAAGCTACTTATTTTCTTTTGTCTAAACATTTATGAGTTTATTTCCTTAATATTTACAGAAGATATGTGTAGGGATATTAATAAAATAATATAATAATAATTACCCATATTATGTATGCAATATAAATATAATAATCTTATATTTGCTCATTCTCTCATCTTTTTTGTTGTTCTTATATCTAAAGCCATAACACCTTTTTCCTTTTTACTTTAGGGGACGTTGTGATAGAGGAATTTCCACTGGATTTTTAATGTCACTGTCATGTGGAGTCGGTGGAACAACCTCACCTGAGGCCTTCGGTGCTGAATCAGAGGTGACCTGGGTCTCTGTAGACACTGCATTTGTACTTGTAGCTGCCTCCATCTCTCCTCTTCTTCCAGGCTGAGGCTCAGGCAGTGGTAGAAAGTCCTTATCTGTGATGTCAGACTCCGAGCTGGAGCTGGCACTACTGCTGCTGCTGGTGTTGCTGCTGGATGTGCCGGTAGACCCCTCATCCTTCTTGGTCTTTGTGCTTTGTTGTTTATCCTCTTGGTTCTGTGCTGATGCGGCTTCTGCGCTGCTCTCAGCTGGGGCTCTGGGGGTCTCTGCGTTGGGCTGCTGGTTGCTCTGTAGTTTGTGCTTTGTTACTGTAAGATCTTGGGAACCACATACATAGCAGCGCTGTACTTGTCCCTTGTAGCTAATCCTGGCATTATAAGTGCTTCTTTACTTATATTATTTTTATTTATTTATTTATTATTATTATATTTATTTATTGATTGATTTTTTTAAGTATGTATGTCTTCAGACTTTGATTTCTTGAAGACTCTGCTGCCTCTACAGTAATGCTTTGCCAAAACAAACTATACATTTCAGGAGTCAGTGAGAGAGGCAGCTGGCCTGAACACTGAGGGATAGAAAGCAAAAAGTGCTAGAGGTTAGGCAGAAGGACTCAGTTAAGTAGGAGATGATGCAGATGATGCGAAAAGAAATACAAGATATATCCACATCCAGCCAATTAAGAAAGACTTGTGGCAATAAAATAAATGGTTTCTTTATTCATTATGGTTTCTTAATGTTTTTGATTCCCCTTTGTTATTGATATTACTAATGCTGAGTGACAAATGTTTGTTTGTAGTGATAAGCAGAGAAATATACTAACTGGCCACTTCATGAAGTTTACTTCCTTGTTTCTACACTCATTGTCCATTTTATCAGCTCCGCTTACTATATAGGTGCACTTTGTAGTTCTACAGTTACAGACTGTAGTCCATCTGTTTCTCTGCATACTTTGTTAGCCCCCTTTTACCCTGTTCTTAAGTGGTCAGGACCCCCATGGACCCTCACAAAGCAGGTACTATTTAGGAGGTGGGTCATTCTCAGCACTGCAGTAACACTGACGCGGTGGTGGTGTCTTAGTGTGTGTTGTGCTGGTCTGAATGGATCAGACACAGCAGTGCTTCTGGAGTTTTTAAACGCCTCAATGTCACTGCTGGACTGAGAATAGTCCACCGACCAAAAACATTTAGCCAACAGTGTCCTGTGGGCAGCATCATGTGACCATTGATGAAGGACGAAAGGATCACCAGATGAGCTGTCGTCTCTGACTTTACAAGGTGGACCACTTTAATGATTATCACAGAATTGAGACGCTCGCGGATAAAGGAATACAAGCAGGCTTTAATGTTGAAGTCAAAATCCAAAATCATCATCAAAAACAGGCAAAAAGGTCAAAGCACCAAAACAGAGATCTAGGGCAAACAATTCAAAGGGCAAATCAAAAATCAGAGTCAGAGAAACAGGAATACAAGTCATACACGGTAATCAATACAATAGAAAGAACGCTCAGTAGTTTGCAGATGAAACAATACCTCGCAATTAACTACTGCTAAAGCCCGGGCTTATAAGCTAAACTGATGAGGTCATGTGATCATAGATACAGGTGCTGCACATTAGAATTCAGCCGATTAGGAGTGTCTAACAGAGTGGACAGTGAGTGGATGCAGTGTTTAAAAACTCCAGAAGCACTGTTGGTATCTATGCATTCCTAAAAGACATCTTTACATTCTGAAGCTAATGCACCCCCCACTTTAGCTACTGTGTTTCATGTTTTTCAATTAAAATTCATATCTTAAATAACTTTCAGAATGTCATGCCTTCCAAAGCTATTTTTTCAGATTTTAAAATTTTGTTACTGCAAACATTTACTGCAATCGTAGATCTTACTTGGTGGGTGTTAATGTCACATGCACACAAAAAGCTACCTGAGTGCTAATAGTATTTATATTCTGAATTACTCAGTAAATTAATTTTCTATATTGCTGTTGTCGGAACAAAACCTTGTATCTCCAAAATGATAACTTTACAGGAGAAGGAAAAAACATACTTTACTTTTAAAGCAAGTCAATGGAACCAGAACACTCAATGTAAACAACAACCGGCATTTTAAAATTATGTCAAAAACTGAAAAATGACAAAAATTGAGATACGATATATTAGTATTGTACAGAATTAGCATTCAAACTTTTACATACTTCTAACTGTTGGGTCTTGTTGGTGGCCCAAGTATGAGCTAATCAGTTTAAATGAAATAATACATATATATATATATATATATATATATATATATATATATATATAATTTTTAAATGGATTAACTCATACTGGAGACAAAAACAGGACAGAACAATTAAAATGATAAACCCTAAATATAGATTGACAGTACAAATATATGTAAACCCTGTGTCAAATGGATTTTAACACAATTTTCTATTCCACTTTCTTTTTGTGATACTGAATATGTTTTTGGGACCAAACATTTCCTCTGTTAATCACTGATGAGTTTTTTCTGTATTTTTCTTTTCAGTCTGCTTTACAGTCTAGCTTCAGAGAAAAATTTGGAAGAGGCAGAGTTGGGAGTCTGAGGGTAGAGGAATTTACTGGAATGGATTATATTACAGGCAAAAAAACTGAACAAAAAAATGGATAAACGGGAACAAATAGGTCACATAAATGTGTAAGTAAATGGGAGCTGGTAAGTGTGTGGAGTTATGGTTAGTTTATGCATTTTCCTTTCAACTGGAGATGGGCAGAAATATAGAGTTATTTTCTGCATTTAATCATATTAATCTACTGTTGTTTATCATTATTGCTTTTGTGTAATAAATAATCATATTGTTATGGAAATGTGCAAGTGTCTTTATTTAACCAGTCACCAGGATGCCTCACACCAGGAAAATTATGTGACTATTATGTGTCATTTGCTTTTGATCTGGTCTGGATGCAACAACCATACCAGTATCTCATGATGATTGATGTTTTTGTTGATCATAATAGTTAAATTAAGCAAAATTAGTACTATTATTATTTTTATTATTATTAATCTAAATATAATCAATTAATGTAAATAAGAAGTGCATACTGGACTGCTTAAATAAAAAAAAATGTTTTGCCACTAACATATGGTTATATACTGTTATGACTCAAACACTGTATAGTACTATTACTACAATGCTATAGGATATGATGTATATCTATTGTGGTACTTCTATGGTTCTGCTTTACATTCAGTGGTGTAAGGTTATTAATATTGTCTTAGTTAATGAACAATGTATAAAGTTACATCATGACAGCTAAGTCAGAATAAGAATAATAAAATCGTTGCAAAGCTGTTGTCAATCATTTTCTGAGCTGTAGGGCTGCTGGTAATCACTACTGTTTCTGGATTAAATTTAGTTGCATCTTCCGCTGTACATGATTAGCATGAAAAATGCTAAGTTGCTAAAATATGCACATAAATATAATGCACATAAGTTGTGTTATAAAAGAAAGTTGTACTCAGTGTCAAGAAAGAAATCCTTAGCTGCCTGTCTATGCCACTAAAGGGCGTATAAACATAGTACAGAGAGCTCTTTATCAATAGGTTGCTGCTGAGGAACGATGTCTAGAGAGCAGATGGACATTGCTTGAACAGTAAGTAACAAGGTCTCTGTGATTCCATGCCAAGGAGCAAACAAGCTGCCACAGACATTTTAACAGTTTAACTGTGAACATTGCATAAATGTCTAGGCGACATGCCTGTACTGTCTGGACAGTTTTTTTTTATTTTTTTACAGTCACATTTCACAGTAGACACAGTTATATCCAAATTATGCTCACATGGAACATTACAACACTACTGGAGAACAGCCATACAAGAACAAAGCAGAAAACTACTCTTATTACTGTGAACCTCAGACAAGCCCTTAGCTCTGCATAAGACATTCTTCAGTGGCGGATTGGGAAGATGTTGAAGAGCCCTCCAGCAGTCACTCCTACTACTCACCTACACACACACACACACGCTGAGGAGCCGAAATCAATCCTAAACCCTGCGTAGAGTGGCTCAGTGAATGTGAAGTGGAGTGTGTGTAAGCGAGTCAGTGTATGTGTGTTGGGTGAGATGCTGTAAAAGGACAGCATGCCGGCTGCCCAGTCCAGATACACGCCCACTCTGTTAGAGTGAGAAGGTGGTTCAGGTATGACAGTTTTCTTCTTGTTATGTTTGACAGAGTAGCCGTTAGTAAAGCACTCCAGACTCCAGGACTGATTATTGTTTCCAAACCAACAGTCATTACTGCGTCTTTTCCTGTTGATGCTTCTGTAAGACACTGATACGCCCACCCCCCCACTCCACTCAGCCTCCCAATAACAGCATCCAGTCAGACTCTCCACACACAGAACTTGTGACCAGCCATCAAATCTGTCTGGATGATCTGGATATGGCAGCTCCTCTCTTACACGCGTAACCTTTTTGTTCCCCTCAGACAGAGACAGGAGTGTGTGTGCTGTGTTTTGGTCCAGAGTAAGCCCATAGGCATCTACACACAAAAACAGAAATTAGAAAAAACAGTTTAAAGTGTATATATGTATGTGTGTGTGTGTGTGGGCGTTCGTTCAGCACACTAAACACAGTGAACTTACATTTCTTTAGCCCTGGCTTCATCCTGATCTCCCCTCCATGCTCCACCCTGAATAAAACACACACACACACACACAAACATACACACACGTTAACCCTTAAGCTTGACGTCCCTAAAAAGTATAATAAAGTAAAAAATTTAAGTGTTCAAACGTTTGACCACTGATCATGCAGACTGTCTGTTTACTCCTTATTTTTTATATTAAAGTCAAACAAAGTAAAGCACCAATATAATCAAATAAAATATGTATAATATGAAATCCTCAACCTTTTTATAGGGATTCAGGCAGGGATTCTCTTGAAATGTGAGGACTGAAATGTGAACAGACTTTCGTTCAGTCTACAGGGCCAGATAAGTCACCTATCCAAAAGACTTTTGCTTAACATGAAGCAGTACAACCCCTACATTCTCATAGTTATTGGGTTAGCTCAACAAGTCAGCATGTGTTAAAAATAGATCTGACAAACTATCTTCCTGGTAATTGCCATGGAACTGTGTCTAAGCACTCTATTTGGTTTAAAGAGTGGGGCATTCTCTTAGACGTGCTTTGACTCTCCATGCCCCTAAAGGGGTCATCTGAAAAGAGCCTCTTAATTGGGTGCTAATGTTTGGATAGAGGCAGGGGAAGGATGTGCATTATTTTGAGTATGAAACAGAGAAGTGGGGGGATTTTTAATAGGTGCTGTAATTATTTTATGAGACCATGATTAAGCAAGACCTAAAAGTTATTTCATTTAATGTTAACAGGATACTATATCCAGCAAAAAGAAGTAAGATTTGATCAACAACAACACAGAAAAATGCACATATTGTTCTCTTGCAGGTAAGGTCTTAGCCCTTCAAAACATGAGAAACTTGAAAATCTACTATCTTTCTATATTCTATTAGATATCTTATACAATAGGAAGGGATTGTAATACTGCTTTCCAGTAAAGTACCATTGGAACAACTATTAGAAATAAAACATAATGAGGGAAGATAAGATATTTCGAAAACATTATTGAACATTTATGCCCCATTTCTGACTTCGTTTTATATAGGAAAATGATTTGATGGCAGGAGCTGAAGGTATTCTTATTTGCAGGGGAGATTGGAACATACTTCTTAATCCACAGTTAAGTTCCTCTAAGGAATCATCCCTGACAACACTACATATGAAAATCAATGTACTTATGATGGAGTCAAGTATAATGGTACTCTTCCTATACATATTACTCTTACAGTACCAGGCTGAGTTAAGCCTAGAGGACACAGTGTCCATGATTTCCAAAAGGAATTTCAAATATTGATTTATTGGACAACAGGACACTTGTCTACTTCCCCTCAGTACATTTTAAATGAGAAGGTGGCATTGTTTCTGGATCATGCTTATGTATGGTTTCTTCTTTGTGTTTTAGAGTTTTAACTTGAATTTGTGGATGCAGTGATGAACTGTTTTCACAGACAGTGTTTTCAGAAGTGTTCTTGAGCCCATGCAGTGATTTCCACTACAGAATCATGTCTGATTTTACTGCAGTGCTGCCTGAGGGCCCAAAGATCATGGCCAGCAAATATTGTTTTTTGGCCTTGTCCCTTTGCATACAGTGATTTTCACCAGATTATGTGAATCTTGTAATGTTATTATGTACCATAGGATGGAAAGCGAAAGTTCTCTGTTATTTTATGTTGAGAAATGTTATTCTTGAATTGTTGGACTATTTGCCCACACAGTCGTTCACAAAATGATGAACCCCTCCTCATTGTTACTTCTGAAAGACTCAGTCTCTCTAGTTCTTTATACCCAATCATGTTACTGACCTGTTGCAACCACTAGTTGTTGGCATCAAATTCAAAATAGGCATATATTTTTCAAAAAACAATAACATTTCTCAGTTTTAACATTTGATATGTTTTCTTTGTATTATTTTCAATGAAATATAGATTTTAAATGATTTGCACGTTTCATTGCATTTTGTTTTTATTTACATTTTGCATAGCATTTCAACTTTTTTGGAAATGGGGTTGTAAGTACTTTGAATAACCTACAATTTAAGACACAAATGGCACAAGAAATAAAGATGTTTTTGCAAGAGAATGACATGGGGAAAGTGTTCCTGTGTCATACAAATTGCTTTTTAAAAAATATTATGAAAATTGGTACTTTCAGCCAGACCTAGACAAACTAACAGTTTTCTGGAGCCTCTTCACCTGCCTACTCCATCAGAAGAGCAGAACAGAAAATTGATGGCACAAATAACAGAGGAAGAGCTAAAAAGGTGACTTCTAAGGCAAATAAGTCACCTGGCCCAGACGGTTTTCTTCCTGAATGGTATAGGCTTATAGGATTTTCCACTCTGAGTTAATATCAAATCTTCTTCGGGCTTGTAATACAGCTCTGTTAAAGAAAAAAATACCACCTTCATGGAGAGAGGCTATAATTTCTGTTACTCCCAAGGCCTATTTCAGTTCTCAAAACAGATTAGAAGTTGTATACGGCTATTCTTGCCAGATATAAGACAGACAAATATGATTAAAGGTCAACACAAAATTGCACTGTATGCAAATGACATTTTGGTGTACTAGAGTGGACCCTCTATTTCATTACTTGAATTGATTGTGTTCTTGGATCATTTAGTTTATATCCTGCATATCTACCAAAATGTTCAAAAATCCAAATATTGGTCTTTAATCATACACCTCAAAAACAATTATCTGACAGATTTATTGGAATCAGAATTAATTTAGGGGTATGTTTTCTGAAGGAAATATCTACATTGGCAAAGACTAATTAAACCCCACCCCATCTAGCAAAAAAGCAGACATAAAGCAGATATACAGACATAAGATTTTATGTCTTTCTTGAGCCTTTGAGAACATTCCTTGAAAACAATTTTCAGAATTAAATAAAAGTATTTAGAGATTCATATGGCAGAGGAGAAGAACCAACATTAGATTTAAACCTTCACAACTCTTAATGGAGAAAGGGGGAATTGCTCTCCCTTATTTCAAAGATGATCTTTACACAGTCCAGATTAGAACCTTTATTAATTTGTGCAACCTGGATTTACATTCTAGATGAGAATATATTGAATTGTCAATAATTATCCTCCAGTGCATGCATAATGGGCAATAAAGATGTGTAGACAGAACGCAAAAACCAAGATTCAACAAAAAACTTGGAATATAGTTAAGGAGGAACATAAATTTAAGGAAATTTTGATTTACATTTGGAAGGGTCAGGTAAATACCTATTTGGGCTTTTGATCTACCCACAATAGGTATATACCTAATACATGATACATATTTCATTCACTAAATCTTCTATTCAGGATAGATTTAGTAAATTAAATATGTATCATGGAAAAAATTATATTTTCACTTAGAGCTGGGCGATATGGCCAAAAACGTTATCTCGATAAACAAAATTCATATCGCTCGATATTGATACATATCGTGATAAATGTCAAATCATTATTTCTTTCATGTTTGAAGGCTGATTTTTGATCCTGGGTGGTTAATTGTGGTTTTAAACTATCATTTATGGTCTGAACATGACAAACACTCACCAAACAGAGGAACATTTCACAAATCTGTCATGGGACAGTGGGAGAACGTTTCTAGTGAGCTGTTTTTATCACCTGGAAAAGCACGGCCGCAGTTTTTGTAATAGTCATAATTTAAGAAGGAAACAGATTATTTTATCTGTCTGGTGACGAGCGCTCGGCTACCCGTTACAAATGACGTCACAGTATTCAGACACCAGCTAGCGACGACTGGATTTCTCTATAGGTTACTATCGTAGTAGTTTACCGCAGTATATCTCACACCAGACAAACGGAGTCCTCCTTTTAGGTACATTTAAACTGAAAATAGTGCTTTTGTGTCTTGATTGATCTACAGTATCATCAATTCTCTGTGTTTTGAAGTGACAGAGTGCTGCTTCAAGTTAGCCAGCTCCTCAGTTTACTTTCGTTTAAATCAGGGCTGTAATTTACATGAACCCACTTCTTTCTTTCACTTTCGTTGTTGGGAATGCACCAATACTTAAATATGACTGTCCGAGCGCTGTAACAGCTTAGTTGAGAGTATCAGACGTGATATAACGCTGCTAAAGCTGGTTAGGATGTCCGGAAAGAGGTGAGTTCACTGCAGGACAGTAGTTACACCACTGATCTCGTCACTCACACTCAGTCACAGGAAAGCAGATCACCCGTCGCTCCGCTCAAACAGGGGATGATAACTCCGCGTTTCAGCCGTTGCTAAAGACTCATCTTACTCGTGGCCCCCTCCCTCTCTAATCAGATTGAAAAACTTGAAAGTGCGCCCTCTCCTGGCAACAGCGGAATAGTGTCGCTTTCCTTGCAGTAGTAAACGCCACCACGGCTTTCGCTGAACGTGGAAGTGTGAGAATGGTGTATTATATCGAACATTTATCGGACATGGCTTATCGCTCTATTGAGGAAAAGTTATACCGCGATAATTATCGTTATCGTTTTATCGCCCAGCCCTATTTTCACTCCATCTACAAATGAATCAAAAATCAAAATGGGTTGTTTTGGGAAAACCCCTACAACCACACTTTAAGGAAATAACCAACGATTAATTGCCACTGCCTGTTTTGTGGTGCTGTGTTGGTGTAATTGTATTATCTAGCAAAACTCATTGATTTCACAAGTGGCTGTGCAATTTTTTTCTCTCATTTTTCTGCTCTCTACTCTATTGTCTATGTTGCTACCTGTCAGAATGTATATAGTTGAATTTTATAACTATAAAAACTGAAATGAAATGAAATAACACTAAAGGTCCAGATGATGAGTACTATTCTTACTATTACTATTGAATGAGAATGAGTACTATTCTTACTAATTCTGGTAACATTACTTCTATTACTGTTTATATTTGTATGTATGGATGGTTTTTAAATGTCTCATAAAAAGAATTATAAAAAATTAAATAGCCTATTGATAATCCTGTTGATATACAAAGTAGTTCGCATTAAAATATAGTACAGTTGTATGGTATCAAGCGTTTTTAAAAATGTCTATTTGGCTTGAGGTAGCTACAATAATGCAGTTTATATCAAACTATAACAGAGTGACTGGTGTTGTTCGTGTACAGCTGTGTATGTTCTCTCTGGTATGTTCTTTGATAGTGATTTCTTTCTGAAATATTCCAGAATAAAAGCGAAGAAAATCATGGCATCTCACAGATCTTTGAGTTGTGTGAGTGCAGCCTATGTTTCACAAACTCATTTTTGTAGCAGGAGTATAATACATCACTGTAGAATGTTTTGGTAGGAAAGAATTTAATTTCTTAACACGCTCTATGTTCATGATTCATGGGGCATACTGCAGTCGCATAAGGCAAATTCTGCACTGTGGCTGTGCTTGTACGTACATCTGGTCCAGAGTCTGCTATGCACAGAATTTCAGTTCTTTAGCAGGTAGATAACTACAAACACACATGCCTGCAGTAAATGAGAGAGCACCTTCACTCTTGACTATATGTTTGGTGTGACAATAAGTCAGAAACTCACTGTAGTTTCTCCAGTGTGGGGTGTGAATCCTCTAGTAGATCAGAGAGAAGCTTCACTCCAGACTAGGTTGGATGATTATAGGTCAGATCCAGTTCTCTCAGGTGGGGCGGATTTGATTTCAAGGCTGAAGCCAGAGAAGAGCAGCCTTTATCTGTAACCATACAACCAGACAGTCTGCAGAAAGAAAAGAAAAAGAATGGGAAATATAGTTGCAGTATTGTACAAAAACAGCATACACCAAATTCTGTGAAATATGGATCAACACTTTGATATGGTGGCTATGACCTGTGTGATAACAATGACATAAAAACATACATTTACATGTTGTTCAAAAACCACAAACTCTATAATGAATCATAAAATATTCTGCTTTTTGATGGTTATTTTACTGGCCTCATCAAATATTTTGTCAAGTCTCAAACAGCAACAACTCCTCATAGCTTGTTTAGGACTACTCAACATTCACTGTCAAATCACTCAGTACCTTTGAGGCCTGATGTCACACATAACCATAATGTTTTTGTTAGAACTATATAAAAACCCGTGTTGATCTCTCCAAAGTCACCAGAGTACAGTGCTATAATGCAAGCCTGCCAATAGCCGGCCAGTCATATCAGCAAATAAACTACATTTTCATCAGTTAAGGGTCTGCCTCTACTACAAAGCTCCACAGAAACTACAATCTAAACAATATATATATATATATATATATACACCAACCACCCACTTCATAAAATATACATCCTTTTAGCTACACTCCTTGTCCTTTATGTGCTTTGTAGTTCTGCAATTACAATTGGTTGTCCTTCTGTTTTTCTGCATTATTTGTTACCCCCTTTGTTTAATGGTCAGGACCCCCACAGGACCACCACAGTTGGTATTATTTTTTGGTGGATTATTCTCATGGTAGTGGAGTACTGCTGGCATTTTAAACTCTGTCCATTATTTCAGACACATCTGCCTTTTTGGTCTACCTTGTAGATGTAAAGTCATAGACAATAGTTCATCTGTTGCTTCAGTTTGTGTTAGTCCTTCATAGTGATGAAACGGTTTCATGCTAACCCACAGGAAAATTCCCAATGGTTAGTATTCTGTTTCAAATTTTAATTATCATTACAACCAAGGTTGATTACTGTACTTTGAAAAACACATTACATACTGCTCAGCATCAACCAAAGGTAGCAACTGTCTCCCAAATGCAGGTGTGCAGGGTGGAAAGTAGTTACAGAGCTCCAGAGACTTTTCAGTCTTCTATAAGATGGATCTGAAATGTGCTCATATTTTGGTTTTTATAGGAGTGCACAGGGAAACTTGATTGAAGATGGTCACCTGGTCTGCTGAACATGCAGAAAGAAGATTGCTGTGAAAGAGGCTGGCAATTAAGAAGTTGACTTCAGCCTTGCATTAAAACTGCAAGTAGGATAGTTTTGTAGTTTAAATGTCCTTATCAGTACCAACAAAAAATAATTTGGATATTTTGAGAGCCCAAATCAGCTTATCTCGTGGGTAAGTATTAGCATTAAATTGTATCTGTACCGAATTAACATTAAAAATACAATAAAACATTTGAACCTCTCATGGCCACATGGTAACACCTTTAATGTTCTCTTGTAATTAACCCCCCACCGCACCACACCAGCCATACCTGAGCGTCCTGTTCAAGACACATGAATAGTTTTCACCTTTGGGTCATCAAACAGTTCCTTCGACACTCTCAGTTCACTAACTGAACTGTAGCTGCATACCTTATCATCCCTTTATTCCTGTATGATCACTGAACATCAGATCTTAACATGTAAGATCTAATTGACAGAAAGGTCACCTGAGTGTTTCCAATTTACAGTGTGAACTCTTCAGTCCAACAGAAAGCAGCTCCACTCCTAAATCCTGCAGGTCATTGTTACTGAGATCCAGCTCTTTCAGAGAGGAGTCTAATGATTGTAGTGCTGATGCCAGTTGTTCACAAGCTTTTTCCCCAAGATTACAGATAGCTAGTCTGCAAAGGCAAAAATATGTATACCAGATCTTAAAACACAGTCAAAGAATAATTTCTGAATGAAATATTAAAAAAAAAAAGGTTTAGGCAACACACTACTAATTAATTTTGTTTACAGTCAGAGATGTAGTAAAATTCCAAAGCACATTAAAAATGATTAAACTATAGTCAATGATGTTAGTATTTCAAGTTTACAGTGAGTTTTGCCATTTACTTAACATTCTTTTCTAATATGGAAAGAGTGCACAGAAGGTTTCACCTGAGTGTCTCTAGTTTACAGTGTGAACTCTTCAGTCCATCAGACAGCAGCTTTACTCCAAAATCCCATAGGTCATTGTTACTGACATCCAGGTGTTTCAGGGTAGAATTTGCTGATTGTAGAGCTGATGCTAGTTTTTCACAGGAGTTTGTGGTAAGTTTACATCCAGCCAGTCTGCAAAGGTATATACGGTACATGGTTTATTGTAGGAAACTGGAATGGACTGACTCTCAATGTGCCATGTTGTCTTTGCATCTAGATAAAGGTATACAGGATGCTTATAGGTGCTTCATCAGAGTGAATCTGTTTAAAGAAGCAAACCTAGTCATTATCTTAAAACGCTGACTAGATGCTAACTGTTTGCCAGTATAGAAAGTTGATGATTCATTTTAAAAACTTAGAACAGATCTTATAAAATAAAATCCTTATAATAAAGACATATACAACATTGTTTGGACAGCATATTATACATTTTGTTGTATTATGATATTTCATATTTTTATATTCAAGTAAATGTGAAAACAACAGCAAAATCACAAACAATAAAAATGACAAAATTTCCATGTGAACTGAAAGACAATACTGATCAAACATTATAATTGTAAAATTACAATAGCTGGAAAGAATAAAATTTGTCATAAACAAAATATCTTACTTTTCTGAATGTTTCTGAATGATTGACCATCTTTTCCTAAAATTGTATTAAATGCTGTGAATGAAATGCTTCAAAATAATGTAATATATCGACACTGTTTAATATATCGGAAAATGGACAAAGTAGTTGCAGCATTTGTGTATAGCAATGTATATGTTAATTTAGTACATCAACATTTGTGCTGAACTGCCATGTGCACAAATTATTAGTATTGCTGTTATTTTCTTATTTTTATTATTATAGATATTATAGAGGATGTTGATAGTAGTTTCTATTAATTAACCACAAATCATATATTTTTCAAACTTCATGAGTTTGATCATACAGATACACCAAAGATGAAATTGGTGAAATTTGTGTGTGTTCATTTTATAATTACATTTGATCATATGCAACTTTGATGAAAAAGGGCCAAAACATTTACATGAGTGTCTCCAGTTTACAGTGTAAACTCTTCAGTCCAATAGAGAGCAGCTCCATTCCTGAATCCTGCAGATCATTGTTATTGAGATCAAGCTCTTTCAGGGAGGAGTTTGCTGATTGTAGCACAGAGCACAAAGTTTCACAGGTGTTCTTGGTGAGATAACAACCACCTAAACTGCAAAAATATAAAAACAATAAACACAGTACACATTTAGAGATGGCACTGATCTAATACCAGGTAGAACAAAAAAAAAAACAATTAATTTGATCTGTCTCTGCAATAAAATCCTGCATGAAATAGTACAGAATTGCTAGTAGCACCACAAAACATAGAGCAAAGTAGGTCATGTGATGGAAACTATGCTTGATGCCTGCAAGATTTCCCAAAAAAGTTGGGATGGGGCATTAAGTTTACCACTGTGTTACATCACCATTTAATAAAATTCAGAGGACAATAATTGTAGTTGTTTGATTTAAAACTTCAGCTGCTCGACAGTGCGCTTCGCTGTACAAATATTTTTAATGGGAGACAGGTGCTACACTCTCTTACTATGAAGCCATGCCATAACAGATGCAAAATGTGGCTTGGCTTTGTCATGGTAAAACAATCAGGGATGTCGTTGAAAAAGATGTTGTCTAGATGGCAGCATAAATTGCTCCAGAATGTGTACATATCCCTGAGCATTAATGGTGCCTTCACAGATATGTAAGTATCCAATGCCAATGACACTAATACACCCGCATGCCATGACAAAGATTGGTTTCAGGATCAGTATGATTCTTTACCTTGCTGGCCAACAGACAATACGTCTGTTATTTCCCAAAACAATTTTGAAAGGTGGACATGTCGGACCAAAACACACAATACCCCTTTGTAATACTATAAAAAGAAAATAACAGTAATACTAATAATTTGTTTCAGATAAGCTTTAGCCCAAAGGAGTCCGTAGAGTTGATGTTGATAGATGGCCTTCACTTTGCATAGTAGAGTATTAACTAGCCTTTGTAGTTTTCTTTCATTAATTTTTTAGAAAGCATACATTTGAATGAGTCACAATTTTTTTAGAATTGGGTTTGTATCTGTGTCTTGACCATGTACTAAAACTTGCAAAACAGAACATCAGGGTTAAACTACAATTTCAGGACCAACCAATTGTTTTTGACTTTGTAAAGTAATTTTTCCCAGATAGGTAGATACTGCACATGTGATATGGACTCAATCAATGCTGTGCAAAGTAAGTATTGTTTCAAACATTCAGAATCACTATGTATAAACTGTTTTAACAACACTGTTGTAGTGATATAGAGTTTTACTCTATAACAAGCTATAACAAGACGATGGCACAGCCCTGCTGACCTGGATATGGCAAAGTGTAATGCAGTCATTTTTAACCCTGTACTTGGAGCATATTAGACTGTTCCACTTTTTTTTGCACTAACCCAGTGTGGTGAAGTCTGGGACAGAACAATGTGACGAATGTTCCTGTTTAACCATCAACCATAACTGTAGTCCCCACCTGTCTTAAATTGCATTTTGTTTTCTTGTGCTTGTAAGATCTATCTGCTCTTTTAAAACTATAGTGAAGTTTTCTAATGACACCACTATAGTGGCACTTAAAGCCAACAATGAGGAGGAGCCATCACAAAAACCAAAGAGAAGGTTGTTGACTTTAGGATATCCCGGAAGACCACACCACCCACCTCTCCACATAAATTGTGAGGGGATGGAGAGTATCAACAACATTAAATTTTTGGGAATCCATATAAAAAAACATATCTAATGGTCCCTTAGCACCTCCTACCTGGTGAACAAAGCTCAGAAGAGGTTTTTATTCCAAAGGAAGCTCAAACAGGGCAAACTTCCCTGTGTACTCCTCGTAAACTTTTACAGAAGCACCATAGGGAGTATCCTCTGCCACTGTGCGGTATGACAGCTGCACTCCTAAAAAACGGTGATGGTAAAAATGGCACAAAGGACTGTGGGAACTGTGCTCCCAAACCTGGACATAGTATACACCAGAACGCTAGCAACATCAGTAAAGACCCAAACGACCCCAGTTACAGTCTGCTTGTTCCCTTGCTATTGGGGAAGAAATATAAAGCCATCAAATCCTGAACTAACAGATTGAAGAACAGCTTCTTTCCCTTAGCTGTAGCCTCTATCACCCCACCCTTCCATAGCTGTTGAGGACTGAAGACTGTATTGATTTATCGGTCTAACTTGTCGTGCAATACCTTTTGATATTGCACTATTTGCAAAATACTTTTATATTGTTTTATATTTTTTATATAATTTTATATTGTTTGCACTAGCACATTTTACCTGCAGTTATCTTGTTTTCTACTGCTGCTGGTTTCTGAGAATCAACAAACCAAATTTCGCTGTATGCCTACAATGACAAATACAGTGTCTTAACTTCTAACATTGGGCCTCATTCACCAATACCTTGTTAAGTTTTATCTTAAATTTGTTCTTGAAAAAGGTCCTAAGAAAAAGTCTGGAGAATTGTTCACACTTTTGTGCTCTTGAGTGTGCACAGATTCTGTTCTTATGTAACAAAAAACATTGAAAATTAGAATGTTTGTTAAAACTGTGTAAGTGGGTAGGCCCGATTTTGACACTTTGAAAATCAGTACCGTGGTATCCAACTCTGAAAGAGTCACTGAATATAAGTACCGTGGCATATGCCTAGACAACAAATGCATTTATAGATGCTATATCAATAACCTTGCAGACAAATTGAGACAAAAACTTGGGTTCCTATATCAACACAAAGTGTGTTTTCCAATGCACACTACAAAAAGGACTGTGGAAGAAACATAATTAGATGATTAATTAAAAAAAAATCTATCATTGCTTATGTTCATGCGAATTACAGAAATGCATCTGTTAATACTCTTAAAACTTTAGATTCAGTCTATCAATCTAATTTACATATTATTTTGTCTTTTTTAATGGCTTGATATGGGGGGGGGGTCAGTGTAATAGACTGCCAATCCAGAGAAGTGGCTGTCATACAGTTACAGTATATTCAGTGTTTCTTTTTAAATAAATTATGATTATAATAGTTGTGGAAAATATCATTAGCTTATTTAAATTATGTATGATACATACTATCCTATGCAGTTTTCTTTATTGTTTGTAGCAGATTGTTATGGTTCACAAACATCAGTGTAGCTATTATTTGTCCTCATAAGTTAGCTATCAAAAAGAATTAAGCTAATTTTGCATAAGCACCTATTTATTTATCTATGTATCTATGAGTGTGCAAGTTGTGGTCTAAATAGATTGTAAAGTTAATTTAATACAATGGTTTAGAAAATTAAGGAAGTTAGATTTGTGACAATTGGAAATTTTTTTCAACATTTATAAAAAAACCCACTGAACAATTTGACTCATTTGTATGATGGCCATTTATCTACTTGTCTCTGCCAATACTCCTCTTGTGGTTAAAGCTGTTGAAGCATGCTAAATGTTAGTCACTTGGCTGTCCAGTGAAATTTGTGTAACCTTGTCTTCGAAGGGTAAATGAAAAAAAAAAAACAGCTGTAGTAATCGGAATCTGTTTTGTGATAGGCCTTGATTTTAGTGTGCACGCAGTTTGCACCCAAACCAAACTGGTGCTACTGTCACATTAGAACATTACAGTTTGAGCCTTTGAGATTCACTCAGACACAAAGCTACAAAAAACACCATTGTTTACCAAGTCACTTCAAATGTTACATGCAATTCAAATATTAAATATACAGACAATACAAATAAGGGGAGAGACTCAACATTTCAGTCCTTAAGAATGTGACCTACATGACTATGGCCTGCTTGCTGCAGTGAACTGTCACTTTAAACAGTAATGAAATAGAATTAATTAGAATCTCAGAGAATATTTAGGGGCTGGATATTAGGGGCAGTTGTGGGCTGGAGTTTAGAGAACCAGGCTTGTGACCAAAAGGTCACTGGTTCGATCCCCTGAGCTGACAGGATATGACTGAGGTGCCCTTGAGCAAGGCACCTAACCCCCAACTGCTTCCTGGGCGCTGTGGATAGGGCTGCCCACCACTCTGGGCAAGTGTGCTCATTACCCCCTAGTGTGTGTATGTTAGTTTAGGAAGAATGTACCTGAATAACATGTTAAAACACATTATTAAGTCAAAAATTAACAGTTTTACACTTGTTTTTACTGATTTAAAGTATCCCTTCTGTAATTATGTGGTTCAAGCTCTGAATGCTAAACTTAGAGACAGTCAGAATGGTTGGTACCATGTCTCCACAGATAGTGGGCCCCCTTCCGTGCCTGTACAGAAACATTTACATTTACCACACTGCACATATGTAAAGTGATACATCATCCAGGTGGTAACTTTTTTTGGTAACACTTTACATTAAGGGTTGCAAATTAATTGATCAGTATATGTTAATAAGTAATTAAGTACTCATTATCTATATATTGATTAAGTGATCATTTAGCAGTAGTTACTGATTAAGTACTTAATTAGTAATTGAGTACAATGTTGACTGATAGTTATTTGTTCACAGCCTAATTACTCATTAACCGTGTACTTACTGCTGCTTATTAAAGTGATAATAAACTGATAAGTGTGTTTACTCGTATAAATAAGTAACATGAGATCTAACAAGTATTTGTGTTAATCCTGTTAATTATTTGTTAAGTAATCTACTAATTTAATATAATTAATTAATTTTATTTCCTGCCCAGCAGTGAGCAGTTGCTGGACCGAACTCACCAATCTCATGTAAACACACGTATTCTCCTGTTACTAGGAGATGAAAATAAACAAAGTAGAGCCACTTGCTGCTGCTGTTGTTTTTCCTGCTCTGACATAGTGACAAAGCAAAGGGTAAACATATTTCAATCAAGGTCATGGATGTAAAGATGGTACTTTTTTAGGTTTTTACATGTACATGCACTCGATTGTGCTGATATGCAGTTCATCAAAATGATTGGCTACACATATGAGTGAGTATGACTTGTCTGAAATATGATTGGGAGAAATTTGTGCCCTTCGTACACTACTCAATTTTGTCTTCCAACTGCCCCAAATTCTGCAGACTAGAGCCAACCAGCACAGATTCATACAGACTGAGAATTGGGCCTAAAATATGGGTAAAAGTTGTGTAGTGTCACGCCAGTTTTAGCAAATGAACTTGGCATTAAA